TGCGATCGGATCCTTGCGGTTGAGGTCCAGGGGTGCACACTGCGATCCGGAGCTGGCCAGACAAGATCGGCGAAGCAGATTGGCGATGAAGATTGGCGAGGAAGGAAGCAAGGAGGAAGGAGGAAGGAGGAGGACGAGGAGGCGGCGGAGGCGGAGGCGGAGGAAGAACAACTGTGATAAAATCTAACAACCCTCACCTGGCAGGTGGGGAATAAAACATACATTTTAAAGGAAATCTAGTATTTAAAGAAATACTATATTATAACACTACTTAAAATCATAAAACAGCGCACTCTGACAAACACCCGGACTCTATAATAAGTATATTATATATATATATCAGGGTGTGCTGCAACTGCTGGAACGGTATCGTGTGAAGGATCAGTGTCCAACAGTAACAAGCACAAATATGTTGTTGACTCCAGCGTATGCGCTTTGACAAGCTGAATGTGAGACGAGTTTAGGATGAGAGATCGTAATTTCATGAGAAACCCGTTGCCAATCACTGTGATAGGCTCAAAACTGGTAACTCCAAGAGAGGATTGCCCGTATTGTCTTCAGCCCATGGTCCCAGGTCTGACCCACACCCTGTGGCGATGATGCGTTTCACAACTTAGAGAAACCTCTCGCTCCGCGTTTGGGTTGGCCCGACCACAGCTGCTAAGGCAGATGGGGGCGATTCGTGCCCGGAGATAAAACTATAAGGCTGCTACACTAAGGTGCGGCTTTGCTGCGCTGTGAGGCATGGGCGCTGTTGGCATCTTCATGGTGCCGAGGTTCCTAACAGCCAGCTGCGCTAATTCTACACGTTCCATCGCCTTCTTCAACGATGATAAAGCCCTTTCAACGCGTGGGATTGGGATTCTGCCCAACTGAGGCTGCGCCTAATTCGGAAGAAAATCAGGACACTTTCTGCAGAGAAGAACAGACCTGCGTTGAACATCTCTTTTGCGGCAAAAAATTGTACGGTACGTTCCAAATGTAGCCCTTTCCAGCTTGAAGTGACACTTTTCGCGCACTGGTCTTCTCTTGATTGAAGCTGGAAGAGCTGAAAAACACAACGCTCAGCTAGAAAACACAACGCGAAAGGCCAAAAACATGACGGCAAAAAAAAAGACCTGACACAAAATCTCAAACATAACGCGGGAACCGATGACACGACGCAAATTCGACGCAATATGACGGCGAAACGGTGTCATCGGGGATGACGAAATCAGTCATGTCATGTTTGATGTGTTAACATGTTTGCCTCCACGCCCTTGGTTCCCTCAGATGCCCCGCAGCCCGCAAATGTGACCGTGCGGGACAAGACCAAGGAATCTTTCCGTGAGGCAGCCATCAATTGGATCAAGGTGAAGGCTGCCCTCGCTGGATTCGATGATGCTGAAATGGAATCATTGCTTCGGTGCTTCAAGCGAGGTGACCTGGACCCTTCGCTGAGCAAGACTCTTAGCAAGCCCATCGATGTGGATGCAATTCTGCAGTAGCCACCCTTGAAGGGCTTGCTGTATCTCCGTGGACAGAAGGAGCGTGAGGAAATGGAACGGCAATGTAAAGAAGTTCTGGCTCAGACTCAGAGCTGATCTGACCGCCGCCCTTGGACACATCGATGCCATTGGTCAACTATCACCTAGACCTAGACAGCTCAAGGGCAAAGGCAAAGGCACTCCGATAGTTCTACCTGATCCAGCCGACGATCCTATCACCAGCACAACACAAGCTGAACTCATTCATGGCGAAGAATGCGGATGCACCAGCTGGTAGCTGCTCAGCAGCATGAGGCAATGTCCCATCTGCAAAGCGGAATGCTTGCCGGTGAAATGGCAACGGCGCAGAGCCGATGAGGCATGCACAGTCGCTGTGGAATGTGGCAACTGCCCCACCATTGGCGGCCGCGCCCTTGAGCTTAGGGGAACATAACACTAGAGTCATGGCCCCCAAACCAACATGAGTTGAAACTGGCCAGGAATGACATGAATTACGATTGCGTCACGGACTATCCTGACAGGCCTGGCCCGCGTCGGTCACTGATTGTAGATTTTAATCCAAACTTCAGCGCCTGGATCCAGAGATTCTTCAGTTGATTCCATAGATTGGGGATTGGAGTTTCCAACCCCCTTGACCAGTTTTTTGAGCCAAGGGACTGGGTGTTTTTTGTTAATTCTGGGTCAGCCCTGCCCTTTTGCCTCTCCTATTCGCACCCAGATTCAGCCTTGGCCTCAAGTTCTGACAAGACGTTTGTTTTGTCGTAGCTGGATGTTGCTGGCAAGTCCCTCCACAAAAACTGTGTTATACTGTCAATCGAATTGCAAGCAATCTCGGCAGATTTGTTTGGTTTCAGGTTGGGTTTCCGACAGACCCGGCCATGTTGCAACAAGATACAGTGTGAGTCCTGGATGCACCTGTGTATATTGATGCATCTTCGAATATGCCATGGGCACCCAAACAAGGATAAACACGATATAAACACTTTAGAAATCAGTCAAATTCATAGTAATTGGTCAACACCAATTTTTTGGGCCCACCTTTTCTCAGACTCATGTTCTTTCAAGGACCCAGTAGACCCAGATGATTTGAAACAAAGCAGAAGATGTTCTGGATCCATCAGCCTGTTTGCTACCCCGACCGCACTCGCAGGCTGGGCTGTGCGCCCAACAAGTGGATGAAGAGTTCGGAGAGTTGGGCTCACAGCCCTGGTGCCCTGGTGAAGAAAGAAGCACCTTAGAAGTCGGTACCTCTATACAAGAATGGGTACTAAGTACCTATTACAAGTACCTATAGTTCTTTTTAGGGTCGACGAACGACATGTCCCACGATCTATTTTTTCGGGTACTTGAAGTCGGGTCCAGGCAATCGCAGTTGTCCAGTCTGGAGAAGTCACGTGCGATTTCCAAGATGTTTGTCTCAATATATCAATATATGGGACGGCTCAGGTTGAAACACTCACTCCGTCTCACCCACCACCCAAAGCGTTGTTATTGGATGGAAAATCATCAGGAGGGTCCAAAAAACAACCCTTTTGGGTGGTGCTGGAGTACAGAGGACCCTTCTTTTGTACTTCACTCGCGCTCGGATCTTTATTTGGGAGGCACGGGGCTTAGGTTTCGCCGCCGCGCGAAGAAGGAAGAAACGGACATCCGAAAGGAACCTGAGATCACATGAGATCGGTGGCACCGAAAAGGTTGTGTACCCTAGGGCTCCAAGTACCTTCAGAGAAGGTGTTTGGAGTGGGTGCCAGGAGGGTCCAGATACCTTCTGAGGAGGTACTTGCAGCCCTAGGGGTATTAAAATAGGGAGACCTCCGAAACACCCATTGGAAGAAGAGAAATAGACCAGAAACCATCGGCCCAGGGCCCAGGGCCCCCCCTAATAAAATACAAACCCCAATAGGCTGTGTGGTGTTTATGTTGAAATCAATGTTCAATAGATCCACGACCCACAAGTTGACAAGGAAGCTTCATGTACTTTACATTCACCTCTTTTTAGCGGCTTTCGCTATAGACACCCCTACCAGCAGGAACCTGGTGCATGTGGGAAAAATGATCCAGTTTCCATGCGAGGAGATCGATCGTCACATGTCCCGACGCCTCGACGCCTCCGACGCCTCGACGCCTCGACGCAGTCGTCTATCCGCTCCGAGGGATCCTTGCCACGCAGTGGACGGAGAAATTCATCAAGTCCTCCGACCTGCAGCGCGCGTTCAGCGCTGCAGCGCGCACGAACAGCGCGCGTTCGGCGGCACCGAAGGGCATGGGACCGGGAAGTGACCGTCCTTGAGATCCCGGCTGAGGCCACTTAGAACCTAAAGAGGTCACAGACAGAGACTCCAAAGAAGGTCACGTACTGAAGGTCCTGGTAATGTGTGCACAAAATTCCTTTGGGTTGCTTCTTGTGCTAGCAAGTTGAACATCTTTGGGACATGTCAAGAGTCTTGAGTTTGTGGCACCAGGTTCGGCACAGCACACCGGGATGCGGCATGATGATGGCTTGGCCACTTCGAGTCCTACATTTCGACCCAGCAAAACGCTGGGCTTGCTGAGGCTCTTCTACATTCCAGAGCATGAAATTCCACAGGCACGAGTTTCGCGCGAAACTCTCGTGTTGTCCTGCCCGAAGAATGTCACTAATCCGGCCAATGTTCTGCTTTTTGACAACCTCAAGACCTTACTCTTGCATCCTCCTGCCTGTATCCTCTACAGAATGCCACGGGTTGGGTACTGATATAGGGCATTTGTTTAGAGAAACTTGTCTTACATTCCCAGGTTTGGCATTTTGTAGAGGAGACATTTCGGAGCTTCTGGAAAATGCTGATTTGCAGGTGTGTGATTCTGTAAAGAAACATGGTCATTGGCGTTTGATGTGGTTTTAACCTCGCCGGTTTGCAGTTTGTAGAAAAACTTGCACCTGGTAGAGAAAGTTGTACCCAAATAGACGATGAAAAAGGCTGTCTCTACAACATGACACTCTCAAAATGGGTTGTCAGGTTTGTATTTGCTAATTTGCACCTTACCTGACTTGCAAAAGTAGTACCCTCTACAGAATGCATCACGCCCCATTTTCTGCATCTTTGTGACCGCTTTTCTCTCATGCTGTATCTATCCCCTTCCAGAACCTCATCATTTTGTCGAGAGTGTCCCTGTCAGAGACTTTTTAACTTTGTATTACGAGTTTGTGATTCTGTAGACCTCTGGGAACCACTTTTCGATTTATAGAATGCTTAGCACAACCTCACCTGGCAAACTCACAGGACGATACTCTTGCTGTATATATGAGAGATTCTCCTGCCATTTAGGTCAAAACAGCTTTGCCTTCCTCTACGGATCAGCACCTTCGCACTCTGCTTCATGCGCGCAAGAGGAAACACCCTTTTTTCCAGGACATCCAAGATGAGACACCAGACCCAGAGGAGACGCCGGTGAAGAGGGGAGTGAGTGAAGGATGGCCCAAGTTGCAGAAGCACTTGTCAAAATTCCTGCTGATTCATCCCCAACTCAAAAGCAAAGACTTGCGAGGGTTAGATATGTCATACCGAAGATGCACTTGGAGGGATGGATTTGAGATGTTTTGAGGTATCAATCACTTCCTCAAGGGTTTCCTTGGAAGATTTCGTGACTAATCTCTCAGGTAGGTTGCTCAAAAGGTTTGCATTCCAGGAGTCAATGGAGGACTAGAGTCACCGGGCTCGTGCCGTGGCCAACGACGAGCGTCTTTGGCTCGATCGGATTTGCCTTTAATGAACAACGGGCGCTGCCAGGACCCCACGGGAGTTGTTTTTGGACACCCCGAATTCACCTCTTTGGCAAAGGGGGGGCTTGAAATAGACACCCCAAACTCGGGGTCCTGGTGTGCTTCAGTTTGTTCCTTTAGACTCGAGTGGTGATTGACTTACAAAAGACAGAGAGAGCTGTCTGGTCGGCCGAATTCCACCGATCCAAGCCGGACCTTTTTGGTACCTTCCCAAATCCCCCAAGCCCGCAGGGCCCGCAGGGCCCGCAGGGCCCGCAGGGTGTTGATGTTGTTCTATTTGAGCCCAAACTATAGATCTTCTTGCAGAATGAGTCATCAGGGTTTAAAGGCAATGAGTAAAGCAAGGGGATTCTCCCAGTTTTATTGAAAAGGCCTCCAGTCTCCGATTCGCTCAAAGTCCCATAGCTTCCTCCACCAAAACATCTCCATTCGCTCCGACCCTGGGGCGCGCCCATCCGGTGAGGAGTGGAACCGTTGGCTCTTCTCCTACTTCCCCTTCTCTGGGACCAGTTGTGACATCGCGGTGCCGCGGAACGAGAGCATCCGGTGCGGAACGGGTGAGCCGTTCTTCCTCAGTTCTTCGGGGGGTTCGGACCTGAACCCAGAGGTCGGTTGGTCTGACGAGGTATGTGTAGTGAAAGATTGGTTGTTCATTCAATGGTTTGTGAGGATTTGTGGCTAAGTATAGAAGCCAGGAGGAGCACATCAACGATAGTATTTTTGCTCTGGTTCTTGGATTGTCCTGTTGTTTCACTTTGTTTATTATTGTGGTCATTCCTTTGGTCGTGAGGATCAGGAACCAATTCTCCACATACCTTGTAAATGCCATCAACATATCCCGTATATTGTCTTTCTTTTTTCTCCGGGGACCCTTGCCACTCGAAGAGGGTGGTGGAGAGAAGGGAACTGGTGCCTGAGATATTTTGGCTGTGGATCATTAAGCTGGATTTACAAATTAGTCCCCTAGCGTCCAAGTGCAACCATCCTAGAGTAGATCGAAAATGAACCAGTCCGAAAACATGACTATATATAGTTTCCATCGTTGTTGCTTGGATGTTCCCAACGGCGCATTGACATCTCTGGTTGTGGAAGTGACGGGAGTAGCAGTACTCCGCGTCAACAGAAATGCGTGATATAAACCTGGAAGAAGAATGAGACGAGTGCAGCCTTTGTGGCCAGAGGGAGCTACCGAAATGGTCGCCACGCAAGTCGGGTCGCAAAATTCGTCCAAACCCATCCTTTGTGGGGCGGATGTCAGACAGAGCCTGCTGGATAACGCCAATCCAGATGAACAACTGGGGCTACTGTATAGGTAGTACATGGTAATTCGATGTAATATGGTGTAACTGTATAACCCATGACCGAACCACCCTTTCATTTTTTTCCGGATGATTGATCGCATCGTCGTCGCACACGTAGACCGCACTGTGCATCCAATGCATCCGGAGCTTGCTTCTCGGAATCCACCCTTTGGTCCCTGGGATTCCTGGCGCACCATTGGATTTATGAAATAGGCATTAAATGACTATCCAGCCATGGTTTTACGAAGGTTTTTTCGACTACAACACGCCAGGTCAACCTTTTTTTTCATGGTGTTCCAAGGCTAGTGATGCATCGTATACAGTTTGCAATCACGGGGGAATCACGGGTGTGGATGTTTATCCAGCTGATGGAAGCCAAATCTCTTGCTCTTCCGCCTTGATTCACCGCCCTCCTTCGCCTTGATTCACCGCTCGGAGCCCTTTTCTGAGGCTCAGAAGCTGATGATGCAAATCAATTTTTGCGGCGATTGGGCGGGCAAAGCCTCTTGGAAATCAATGCTCCAGTTCGCTGGGGGCGAATCCCCTGCCGTCGTGTGTCGCGGACTGCGGGGGAGTGGTTGAGAACCTGATGTGCAAGATACTACTATAAGCACTTCCTCTTTTGCTTCCTCGTTCCGGCGTTTCTCGCGCTTCCTCTTGGTGCTTTTCCACTCCCTCTCCGTCTTCTTCCTCGTCATATTCTTGTTGCTTTTGCTACACTTCTGACTTTCTCCCATTTGCTCTTCCTATTCCCTTCCTCGGCTTTGCTTCCGACCTCCACACCGAAAATTCCTCCCAACCAGCGGCCACTGAATCACTGAATCAAAGTATCATCTGGATCCATTGAGATCCCCTACAACACCTCCAAACTCCCGGAACGGGTTTAAGGACACCCACGGTTTGGGGGTGAAAACCAGGGTTTTGTGTAGTTCCCTTAAACCCATCCATTCTACACCACCGTCTCCTCCAACCCGAAGCTGCACGACCGTCTCAGGTCTGGAGTGCCTCGGCCGGACTGAAAATCGGGTGATGGAAGTCTACGGCGGGGTGAAGTCACAAGTGTCCAGTCAAAAGGGATGTTCCTGTCGTCACATACCTGGAGATACCTGGAGATGTTCCTGTCGTCATCCTGAATGCAGCGCCCCAACAGAGCAGTATAGGGGCTCTAGGGGTAGTCCAGCCAGGACGGTCCAGGTATCGGTCCACCCTTCCAGGTGTGGCAGGCGTGCGTCTCCACACGATCCAGATGATCCACCTGCCCCGTTGGGACCAACGGAAAGCTGTTGACAGACTCTCGGTGCACGCCCGGTCCATTCGCGCGGAAACAGATCCTGCTTGTAATGGCTCACCGAATGCTCACTTAGCGAACATGTGTGGTCCCCTCAATGGGATTTGGTCTTTAGCCCTACCGACTTGACCAGCTTGTGGTGTCTTTGGAACTGGTGGGATGGAAGGAGGACAGTCGCATGTGTGTGTGCTGGGTCATGCTGTATGCATTCCGGAAAAGACCACCAATCTCACCTTTTCAGGTGCCGATGGCAACTGCAATTGGAGGCACAGACTTTTCTGCTCGATCCACCTGTCGAGTTCGAGGGGAGGAGGACGATGGGAACACTCTGGATCTTCGTTTCTATGCAGACATTTAGGCAGACATGGCTGGTTCTATGGATGAGACAGACATTTGCAGAGTTGGAAGATTAGATGGGAACCAATTCATGGTCTATCCTGGCCGCCAGGACCGTGGGGTGTCTGGAGCATAGTTTAAACATTGTAAAGTGAGCCCCTCAAAAAGGAAGACTACCATGACAGATGTGTTTGTACCACATGTATCAATGTATTTGCATCAGAAGGTTGGCTATGTCCATGATCTGTGCCAGCGGCCGACCAAATCAATCAGAAGACCCCTTTGTTGCAATCTCCTGACTTCGGAATCAGCGCTGAACTGACGAAACAATCCATCCACCCAGACTTTCCTCCTTTTCACCACCCGACCGATGCAGAGAAACCCCAATCTCGACCGCTCCAGTGATTCGAGTGCAATCCCCTCCCCACAACGAAGGTCCAGGCGTGTCTTGGGCTATTGAGCTTCAGTGAGTGAACACCCCAGTGACCCGCCAGGGTGCCCCACTGCCGGGCTGTTGACCCGCTGAAAGAGCTTCTCGGAGACATGGGAGTTGATCGAAAACCCCGTGTAAGGAGTTTTATATAAAACAGCCTTTCAGATGTTGTTAGAACCATCCGCGAAAGATTCGCGATGAGGTTCGCGAAAGTATCTTTTTTTTCCGCGAAAGATTTATCGAAGGTCATCGCTTTCATTGTTTTCCTTTCTACCGGACTGACAAAGAATAGAAACGCAAGGCAATCCTCCGGCAGAGCCAGTGGGCGGAAGTGTCCCCATATGTCACAGACTAACGAACTGAAGCCTCAACATTTCCGTGCCGAGCCCTGGCAGTGCGTAAAGGATTCTCCGATTCCTGTCCCCACTGTCACAGGCTAGCAATCTGGGTAGGCACAGCCCTGACAGTGAGGCAACGACCTGCAGCTGCTCTGACGGGCTGCGCAGATGTTTGCAAATGTTACGGCTTCCCGGGGAAAGCACCAGTGAAATTTCGCGAAAGATCCGCGAAAGTTTCGCGAATGTGCCGCTAAAGTCTAGGTTCCCAGCTTGAGGCCCCCCAACATTCCCCAAGCTGTATCACCCTGTGTTGGTAGCTGGCACGAGGATTGGGTTGAGTTGTGCCTGACTCTATTTGGCACAATTGTCGAACAGATGCTGCAAGTGACCCTGAGTAGCTGTGGAAACGTTCAACCATGTTCCGGCTCCTGTTGGCTAGACATGGTTGTAGGACCATGCTTCGCGATGAGGCCGCGAAAGATCCGCGAAAGATATCTTTTTTTCCGCGATGAATGGCCATTCCAGGATGAAAGAATATTGATCAACCACCACATGGGTCGCGCCTTGGGTGTGGACGACAAAGACAGACAAACAACGATGAGCTCAACTCTCCTAGTTTTAACATGGTATGTTTTTGAGGTTAACGCATCAAAACAATATTTTAGAACAAGGAAGTGTTAGCTTTCAACCAAGTGGCTTAACCAATGTGGTTTCTTCATTATTTGCATAATTATATAGTATAATGATATGCAATATGTATATACATACAATATATATATATATGTATTATTCGTGGTAGGTGTTATTTATTTATATCACAGAATATAACACTAATTTGTGTTTAAACAACAATGATATCAGTTTAATCACTAATTATGCATGTTTAATCATTATTAAGTAATTGATTAACACATAACAATGTTATTTTGGTGAAATATATATCATAGCGATATTTGTTATATACACATTTATATTTAATATTACTTATATTGCACGAATTTATGCATCTATGTTTTTGCATGTCAATATTATATTCTAATTTACGAAATAATATTGTAAACATCATAAACAATGTTCGCCACGTTGGTTTTCCTATGTGTTTACCTCAAAATTCAAGTGAACTTATATGGCAAAAAAAGGTGTTGCATAGACATAACAATTAAGTTGATTATATCACATAAATACAGTTCATGGAACCATTGGCTAACAGATGACAATATGAACAGTTTTCAGTTATTTTTTTTAAACAATAATATAGCAATTACAATGAACGATCCAGAAATTGATTACACAAACAAAGTTGAAACATATAGAATAACATTATATTGCATTTTTGTGTTCAATGAATTGAATATTATCTTGAATAACACTTAACAAAATTAATACTTGTTATTGGTGTTGAAAACACTCACTTATTACAATATTCATTATTTACACGAAAGTCAATATTCATTAATTCAACATCAGTTGCAATATTTACAATTCTTGGATGATAACTCCAATTTAATTAAAATAGGGTAGAATGAAGGTAGAGGTAGGAGTAGCTCGAAAAAAAAAAACCACGTAGGCTGAATTGCAAAGGGCTCTCCTATTTGCTACATTGTCGATGGAAATTTAGCAATTACTTACTGTATATATCATCAAATGGTCGGTAATCTGCAGTATCTCTGTATCGATTTACAGCCTTCGGCATGCCGCCGGCCACCAGCTCGAGCCCGCATTGGCAGGCAGCCTAATGATGCTTATTAACAGTGTTCCACAGTTCTATTTTCGTTCCAAGGCAGGGACAAGATCACCTCTTCTAGGCTGAAGCAGCTATATAATCTGGCACGTCTCACCGTAGATTGAAACCAACCGGGGCAGGGCAGGCTGTCGAAACATCCGTGCGGAGAAACAAACCGTAGATTGAAACCAACCGTAGATTGAAACCAATGGAAACCAACACAAGCCAGACGAAGCAAGACAATCCACAAAACCGGTACTTGAAAATGAGTCTTCTTCCAAACTACTTGGCCTTTTGCATGTTTTCCTTGTCAGATCTTTTTATCAACCGTCTTGAGGAATTGCGAGTCGCACAAGATATTCTTTTTCACATATAGAAGGCTTCAAAGCGACCGAAGAATTTCTTGATCTGGCATGATTTGTCGTTTTTTTCTCCAAACCGTTCGAAATGAAAGACCCAGAATGACATCGAACAACAATACCCTGCTCAATCATACTTGTTGGTGCATCAGAGTTGCACATTTGGCTGGGCGAGTTTGTTGATGTTTATTTCACGGTTGTTTGACAATGAAATGGAACGAATCCGAATCAGAGGTTGTCTATTCTGATCCAGCGATCCGAACCGGCATGTCTCAGTCGAATCACCTAAGAGGAACCAATTGAAACCAACACAAGCAATGCGAACCAAGACTATCCACAAAACATGACCTTGAAACGATTCTTCTTCCAAACTACTTGGCCGTTTGCATGTTTTCCTGTTCAGATCTTTTTCCCGACCGTCTCGAGGGATTGCGACACGCACCAGATATGCTTTTTCACACACAGAAGGCTTCAAAGCGACCGAAGAATTTCTAGATCTGGCATGATTTGTCGTTTTTTCTCCAAACCGTTTGAAATGAAAGACCCAGAATGACATCGAACAACAATACCCTGCTCAATCAGACTTGTGGGTGCATTGGAGTTACAATTTTTGCTGGGAGAGTTTGTTGATGTTGATTTCAAGCGAAGTCGTTTTACAATGAAATGGAACGAATCCGAATCAGAGGTTGTCTATTCTGATCCAGCGATCGACATGTCTCAGTCCAATCACCTTAGACGTAGAGAGAGAGGGGGGGGGGGGGGGGGGGGGGGCGTCAGGCTGTCGAAAAATCCGCGCGGAGATACAAACCGTAGATTGAAACCAACACAAGCAATAATAACCAAAACAATCCACAAAACACGCCGGCAGGCCGGCGGATTATCTTCCAAATTTTCATATTGCATTTATTGTATATAATGTGTTCTTATGTTCTTTATTTGTGTTATAATGACCCTAATATTGCGCAGTTTTATTAAAACCGTTTGCTTTTGTATAATCAAATTTACAAAAATTGCATCAAATATATTCTTCAAAGTCAAAAACATGAACAAAGCGCGCACAAATAATATTATACTCATGTTTCAGGTCTGGCAGGCTTGGGTGAACATGACTTCATTTCTTCCATAGCTTCATAACGAACGATAATTTTGGCTCAAGCGAGAAGCCTTCATCTGGGAGCCTGGAGACAGGAAGATAGCCCAGCTGCAGGTGGTGATGATCATCTATGCTCTCACAGCCCGCGCGGAGATTTCCCGCGGAAGGAGGGAGTGTGGATGATTGACAACGTGGCAGCGCTGATGTGTCTCATCAGAGGGCGCTCCCACTCACCCGATCTTGAACGCATGTGTGGCCTGATACACATCATGCCATATGCTCTGCGTACTTGGATGTATTGGGAATACATTCCATCCAAGAGCAACTGGGCAGATGCAATCTCCCGGTTAGGTTGGGACGACCCTTGGTGGCGTACCAATGGATTCACACCTTTTTCCGTGTCTTGCCCGTCGTGTCTTTGGCACCTACCACTCCCTGCGGTGATTCGTGTCATGGAAATCCTTTTATGATCACAGTGTTGTGTAAATATTGCATAGCTTTTGTTTTTCGAAAGAAATGGGAATACTATATTTTTGATATATTTTGAATAAACAAGCATTTGTATCAGGCAAAGAACCGAAATCTGAGGATTCTGAACCATATATTTGATGTTTGACAGCTGTATATCCACCAAATATATGATTACTTTCTTGAAGTAATTACAATGTTGGTGATTCATTATCACATTTGTTGTGAAATGAGTGTGATTTAAACCAAATGTATCACTTAAATACCATAAAATAGTATTGTTTTTGTCAATTGAATTCGGTATATATGTTTTAGGTTTTTTCGACAAAACCATTCACTACTTGCCTGACAAAATCGATGATTTTATTTGCATTTGAGAAGTTCATTGATATTCATTACTCATGCATTTTACATAAAAGTGAAAAACATCTATTCAATCATTTTGGATTGAATATAGAAAGAAAAATGTCTGTTATAAATGTCAACGAATTGAATTTGACTTGTTTTCATATAAGACTTTCAGTGCAAACAAATTGACTCACTTAATATGACACAAGCAAAAGCGAACAACAATGATCATGGTGATGATGATTTAAATGTCAAAATTCTGGTGCTACTAAATTTTCAAAAATACATTACGACCATGCACGATCTGCAACAAAAACACGAACATCAGGTCCAAACAAGGCTATATATTATTGATTTTAAGAAAAAACCATCATAGAGCCCAGGGCCGTTGTGATAACCATCTCTAAAAAGAACCATGAACTGCATCTGTTTGACCAAACACATCACATACAACTAAAAGAACGAACGCAATTCGAACACAACTTGCTGTCCTTTTAAAAATTGAAATTTTAGATATTGATAGAGTGAAACCATCAATGATTCTAATATTTTCTTTTTTCTTTAAATTCAATGGCTTTTGCTGTATAACAATTATTTTGTTCACTGTGTACAGTAGTATATTAACATTCCTTTCCATGGTATATCAGCACACTTCTTTTCCTTTCGTTCTGCCAAGAGTGTCTTGTGTCAACCTGCAAGCCTCTGCAGGATTTGCGTTGGGTAACCTGCACTGGCAGGTCTGTCGCAAACAGACCAGCAGTAGTTTCA